AGGTGAAAGATGTGGGTGCTGGATCTTATGCAACAGTTGGAAGGATTTTTAAACTTGCATGTACTATTGTTCTATTCTTTGGCAAACAATTTTTACTACTGTTTCAAACTTCCATGGCAACTGTTTTGAATCTCCTGAGCTACCCTAGGAATCCCACACCTGAAGTAGTCTCATAGAGGGTTAATGTGAACTGAAACAGATTCTAGTGTGTGAGTCTGGGGGGTGAAACCCAGTTGGGTAGCTATACATGAAGGGCTTCCAGTATAGCATTGCCCAATCAGTCAAAACAGGAACTGCACGATGAACTTGTGTGGTCATTGCTGCTGGAGCAGGACATCCTGCAAATTGACAACAGCTTAATCTTACATTATGTCTCAATGGAGGGGATTCAAGTCATAATTTTTTAGAGCTGGAAGGAAATCCAAGTGCCACTGAATCCAACCCCTGCCAACGGAGGAAATCCAAAAGTAAAGTATCTTTGATAGAGACTAATCCAATATTTGACTAAAAACTTCCAGCAAAACCCATTCCACTGCTGAGCAGCTCTTACTGTCAGGAAAATCCTCCTGGTGCTTGGTCTAAACCTTCTTTCTTGTCATTTGAATTCATTGTTTCAGACTCCAACCTCTGGAGGCATGAAAAACAGGCTTGATCCATTTTCTATGTGATGGCCCTTCAAATCTTTGAGGATACATGTCTTATCACCTGTCAGTTCTCTCATCTCCGGACTAAACATACTCATCACTCTTGACCATTCCTCACAGGGCTAGGTTTCCAGCTCCTTTACCATGGTGGTCACGCCTTTAGATGCATTACAGCTTCCCAGTATATCTTTAAACTGTGGTGCCCAGAGGTGAACATAGTATTCCATGTGAAGTCTGAATAAAGCGCATGAATACCTCTAATACGACCAAGGCAGGCGTCACCTCTCCTGCACTTGTGCGTTTGGTTTATCCTGTAGAAATGTAGAACTTTTTTCCTCACTGAAAATCATTTTGCTTATTTGGCCTAGTTTTTCTATCTGTTTAAAACTTGTCTGTAAAGGTCATCTTGAACCCTGCTCCTGTTTTCCAAATGATGAGCCATTGGTGAATACTTTTTTTCTCTAATTTTACAGCCAGGCACAAATCCAACTAATAGTAGCAGCATCTAGCTTACATTCTACCAGCCTGCTCACAAAAACTGTCATGGGCACCTTGTTGAAAGCTTTGCTGAAATAAAGGTGTGCTATATCCACTGCATTCCCAGCATCTACCAAGCCTGTGTCTCTGTTTGAAAAAAAAAACAAAAAACGGGGGGCTAAGATTAACATGACTTGTTTTTGAGCAGCCTCTGCTGGGTTATAGTATTTACAGTGGTCTTTTCTAAGCTTGTTTATTGATCATTCTAAAAATTTCCCTACTATCAATGTAATTTCTTCCTTTTCCCTTTTGGAAGATGCAGACAACATCTGCACACCTTCAGACTTCATGGGCTTTCTTTTAGTACCATTGGATGCAGTTCATCTGTTCCTGAAGACTGACTGATTTATATTAAATAGGTGTTCTGGAAGACTGGCTGGAGAGGTCAGTGAGTTAAATAAAAGGTTGTGAAGCCAGAGGTTCAATTCCCCATTGTGCCACCCAGGAGTAGAGTCAGCCTGTGTAGCCTTGGACAAGTTGCGTAGTACCAGGGTACCCTCAGAAGAAAAGGATGAAACTGTGTCGCCGCCCAGAGACCTTTGGGTAGAGTGTATAAGTTACCGCATTGTTTGCTCCATAAGACGCACTATTTCCCCACTTGCGTAGTACCAGGGTACCCTCAGAAGAAAAGGATGAAACTGTGTCGTACCTCATCTGTGAATGTCCAAAGATTGCACAAACAGATTACAAAGGCAGACATGATAGAGTGGCGAAGTTAATGCACTGGTCATTATGAACAAATATAACTTGTCAGCCTCCAAAAACCCGTGCGAACATCAGTTAGAGAAGGTGTCAGAAAATGAGGACATCAAGATCTTGTGGGCTTTGCGGATCCAAATGGATAGACACCTTGAACATAACACAACAGACATAGTAGTAATAGAATGAAGAAATGTCCAGATCATTGACATTTGCAAATCCAGGGGATGCTAGAATTGAAAATAAAGAATTGGAAAAACTAACAAAGTACAGAGACCTGGCAATCGAAACATCTTGCCATGCTTGTAATGCACTCTGGGATGATAAGGAACAAATCCTGCTGCTTCTCTGTATAACAGCTTCTCAAGTATTTGAAAAGTGTTATCATATCACCCCTCTTCTTCTTTTGTCAAGACTAAACATGCCCAATTCTTTCAGTCTTTCCTCACAGGGCTTGGTTTCCATCCCCCTGATCATGCTTGTCATCCTCCTCTGAACTTGTTCCAATTTAACAGCATCCTTCTTGAAGTGTGGTGTGCAGAACTGGACACAATACTCAAGGTGAGGCCTAACCAGTGCTGAATAGAGGGGAACTAGCAACTCACAGGATCTGGATAGTATACTTCTGTTAATGTAGCCTAAAATAGCATTTGCCTTTTTTGTAGTCACATCACACTGTTGGCTCAGATTCAGCTTGTGATCTATGACAATTCCAAGAGCCTACTCACTTGTAGTATTGCTGAGGCAGGTATCTCCCATCTTGTAACCGTGCAATTGTTTCCATTTTCTGAGGTGCAGTACTTTGCAATTTTCCCTGTTGAATTTCATTCTGTTGTTTTCAGCCCAGTGCTCCATCCTATCAAGATCATTTTGAATTTTGTCTCTGTCTTCCAGGGTATTAGCTATTCCATCCAATTTTGTGTCATCTGCAAATTTGACAAGCATTCCCTGCACTCGCTCATCCAAGTCATTAATAAAAATGTTGAAGAACACTGGACCCAGGGCTGAGACCCACTTGTTACCTCCTCCCAGTTGGAGAAGCAGCCATTAATCATCACCCTCTGCAGCCAGCTCTGACTGCAGAGCCAGAGTTGGGAGTTTGAGCCTACTCACTTGTAGTATTGCTGAGGCGAGTATCTCCCATCTTGTAACCACGCAATTGTTTCCATTTTCTGAGGTGCAGTACTTTGCAATTTTCCCTGTTGAATTTCATTCTGTTGTTTTCAGCCCAGTGCTCCATCCTATCAAGATCATTTTGAATTTTGTCTCTGTCTTCCAGGGTATTAGCTATTCCATCCAATTTTGTGTCATCTGCAAATTTGACAAGCATTCCCTGCACTCGCTCATCCAAGTCATTAATAAAAATGTTGAAGAACACTGGACCCAGGGCTGAGACCCACTTGTTACCTCCTCCCAGTTGGAGAAGCAGCCATTAATCATGACCCTCTGCAGCCAGCTCTGACTGCGGAGCCAGAGTTGGGAGTTTGATTCCCCACTCGGCCTCCTTGACAGGGGCTGGAGTTGATTATGCATAGGGCCACTTCCAGCTCTATAATTATTATTATTTTATTCATTTTTATTCAACTTTATCCCCAAAGTGATCCACTCAAAGGCAGTGGTGAAGCTAGAACTAACAACAGGAAACAATTCCAGGTCTGTATTGCCTTAATAATGCATCTGTTTAGGACCTGGTCTTTAACAGCTGCAATTTCCTGGCATTATGGAGCTTGGATAGATACAGAGATCCCTTCACACATTTTAAATACTAAAGCCTTTCATTAATTGAATTTGAATTCCTGTGATTGTTAGCTGTCTTGAGTGATGTGCTTGGCAAGAAGATGGGATGGAAATTTATTAAATACATAAATGAGTCTATCAGGAAAAAGAGCATCCAGTTCTGATTCAGTGAACAAAGAAAAAGATTCAGGTGTTGATAAAGTGGGCAAAAGAAGGCCAGCTAGCTGTAAAGGGTCGGAATACAGCAGAGCTGGGAAAAGGTAAGGCTTTTGACTACATTTCCCTGTGGCCAAGGTAGTCAGAGGATTCTGGCAGTTGTAATGCAAAGGAGCAGCTTTGCCAAACTTGAAAATATAGCAGGATGCCTTCTTCAGGGTTTGTTTTCCTTCTGCTAGTAAAAGAAAAATTGCATGTGCAAAATTAACATCAGCAGCTGTTGGGCTTCAGCTTCAAATAAGGAATCTGCAGAAGGTAATACCACCTGTGTGCATCTAATTGCAGACCCTTACAATCTGTTCCACAGCTATAGTGTAATGGGGGGCGTAATGGGTGGTGCTTTCCATTTTAAGACTGCACAGAGGTTTTTAAACAGGAATTGATTAAATCTTGCAAATTCCCATGTGAACAGCCATAAAGGGCTTGGGTCCATTTTGTTCTTCTCCAAACCTGTTTAATTCTTCCCTAGTACAGTTATATAGACTATTCTGACATCTTTTAAAGAAGCCTTCCTCAACGGAGCGCCTTCCAGATCCATCAGACCACAGGCCATCTCATCCCCAGCCAGCAGGACACAATGGAAGCATAAGGACCACTCAGGGTGGATTCATTAAGTTTATTCAGTGCAATGAATACATTTCACATCTGCTTACCATCTCCTTTTGTAAAAGATTTATAGGCCAGCCTTTAAGGGGAGCCAGCATACAAAATTAAATATCATTGTTTTGTTGTGCTTTATATAAAATAAGAATCAGTTACCAGAATGTATTCATTAAAGTTAAATAATCCTCTCTCCACAAGGACTCGTGCATGATATGTGATCACTTAATTTATGCCAATACATCCAAGGACAGTCGTTTTCCTGCACACAATCATTGGGCGACCTTATAGGACTGCACTATTTTTAACAAAAGTTGGGTGCATTCCTTTTTTGAATACAAACTCCCAGAATCCTCCATAATTATACACATGTTCAGAAATTTCCAGTCCAAAACCTTTGTTCACTTGCTGTTGTTCATGAGCTTACACAAAATTTTGTATATCCATTCTTCTTCTTAGGCAAGTGTACCCTCATCACAAAAACAATCTCTGCATATTCATGATCTCATCCCAAGGGTACTTGCCAAAGAGCCTCAAACATGGCTGGATTTTTCCTCTCATGGATGGGGGCTCTGCAAGAAGCTTTACATAGTTTCTCATGCAAACATGAATGACAGCTCTCTTTTTTTCAAAATGGAGGGGATCTGTGGAGTGGAAAAGGGAAGTCACACTTGGCCTAGCAAAGCATTTCCTGAATGTTTATTTTTTTAAAAAAAAGAACTTAGGTCCCTTTTTCATTTGACTTTCCAAAGTGAGATGATTTTCAAACTAAAAGTGATTGTGTACAGGTTTCTAGCAGAAAGTCATCTTAGACATACTGCTAAAAGCTGGCGCTATTATAGATTTAATGTAGCTACAGTTATCATGAGCTATGCACTGTCCATTCTTAGTAACAGTGGAATGAACTATGACTATTCAATTGTGTGTTGACAACACAATTTCAGTCTAATCACAGCTATCTAAGCTGATTCCACTTAGGAGAGATGTTTACATCATATTGTAAGTGTTTTACTTATTTATTGCTACCCTTGTTTAAGTTCTTAGCCTGTTACAGGTTTTATTATAATAATCTTGGTTCAATTGCATTGCATTTAGTTTGAGCTATTCCTATAAAATCATTTTTCTCTGAGGCATTTCAATACAACTGGAGAAATGATATGCCTCTCCTCCCCCAAAAAAGTAAAGTGTTTAGGAAGGATTTCTGTATGTGGTGGACATGCTCATCCCACATCTCATTAGCAAAGAGACTCTGATATTATTGCTGTCCTGTACAGTCAGTCCATCAATGTAGTCCTACATGCACCCACAGATAGCAATGATTTCAGAGCCTCTGTGATATCCAAGACTGTGTTGGTGCAAATATGGAAAAGGGGAAAGAATGCTTTTGGATTTTTCCTGTCCAGTTTTTGGGGGGCTTTTGTGTTCATCTTGATTGAACTTTTCTCCAGCTGGGGTAGAACTGAACTAGCAACCTTGAGAGATGACGTAGTTATGTTCCTTCTCCCAGTCTCTCTTGGGATCATGACTCAGGGCTGAGAGAATTTTGGATCCTGCAGATTTAAAACCAATCCTGTCACTCCTTGAAACCGACTGCTCTAATTCTTTCCTCGGATGTAGGACTGAGAATAACTTGGGACTGGGCCAAGGGGCACTGTACCCTCAAATTTTGGAATGACACTCCCCTATCCCAGTCCATAAGCTGGCCCTGAGTAGAACGTTGCTTGAACCTGCAGTCCAAAATTCAAATCATTTCAACTCTTACAAGTAACTAACTCCAACTCACTTTCCAAGTTGTCCCTCACCCTTTTGGACTTGTAATCTGGGCAAATGTTGAAAAATTCATGAAAAGAATTATGCTCAAAAATAGATGAACAATTCTAACTGTTGGTTGTTCTGGGTTTTTCGGGCTCTTTGGCTGTGTTCTGAAAGTGGTTCTTCCTGACGTTTCGCCAGTCTCTGTGGCCAGCATCTTCAGAGGACAGCAACCTGTACTCTGGTGTAGTTGGCTTGAGAATGCAGTATTCATGGCTATGAGATAGGCTTTTGTCTTTTCCTGTAGATGGGTGATTAGTGTGTATTGTTGTGGGTGTATTGTTGTGCTAAGGGGAAGAGATTATCTGTTCCTGTGGTTGATGGGTGTCATTAGCTGGTTTTTTGTGTGTAGTGATTCCCTGTCCTTATGGGTGGGTAGAGTTCACAACTGCAAGGTATCCGGTATACTCCTGTAGCCAGGTATATACTGGAACCACAAAACGAAGCATCCACACCAGAATCAAAGAACATGAGAGACACTACAGACTAAAACAACCAGAAAAATCTGCAGTAGCTTAACATGCCCTGAAACAAACCGGACATGAAATTCTATTTCAAAATACTGAAACACTGGACAACGCCAGCAATCATTACGTCAGACTGCACAGGGAAGCCATTGAAATCCACAAGCACAAGCACAGTTTCAGCAAAAAAGAGGAAAGTATGAAGCTCAACAAAACTTGGCTCCCAGCTATCAAACATACTTCGTGCAAAAGGTCAACGAACTCTACCCACCCACAAGGACAGGGGATCACTACACACAAAAGACCAGCTAATGACACCCATCAACCATAGGAACAGATAATCTCTTCCCCTTAGCACAACAATACACCCACAACAATACACACTAATCACCCATCTACAGGAAAAGACAAAAGCCTATCTCACAGCCATAAATACTGCATTCCCAAGCCAACTACACCAGAGTACAGGTTGCTGTCCTCTGAAGATGCCAGCCACAGAGACTGGCAAAACGTCAGGAAGAACAACCTACAGAACACGGCCAAAGGGCCCAAAAAACCCAGAACAACTATTAGATCCCGGCCGTGAAAGCCTTCGCGAATTCTGTCTTCTCACTTGCAAGGATTGCATAAGATTTTCTGCTAACTCCCAATTCCATCCTCACATTTAGGAGAACATTTTTTCATGTAACATCTGCAGAAAATGTGCACAAAATTTCAGCAAAAGTGGGAGATTTTTCATCAGATTAATGAAAATTAAACCCATTAAATCCTGGACAGGCTGTTTGCATCTTTTCTAATAATTACCCATTCTTTCTACACCGTGTATACTCTTTCTTTCTCAAGGGGAAAGGGTGCTGGTTTTATGCATCTTTTGTGCAGATGGTTATAATGATGATGATGATTACTGCAACCTTGAGGGGGAGAAAACAAGGTCATTCCTTACCTTGTTCTCATCTGGAAGCAAGGAGTCCTGTAGGGCTTTTGGAATCCTTATTGAAGTGTTCTGTTGAGCTTTTACAATCTAAATTGAGAAGGAAAAGCAATTTAGTAAGTATTCTTCACATTCCTATTCATTCCTGGATGGGTTCTTCCTTTGAAAGTACAACTGATTTGAAATTTCTGACATGTCCTACTTCTCTCTGTTGGAGAGTACACACACAGCAATACTTGAACAACATTAACTTCTGGATTCAGCCCCTGAGATTATCTGAGCATTCCTCCTCTGTAAAAGAATCACGTCCGCACATCTTTCTAAGAAAATAAGAAAGCTTACATTTATTAAAGAAATAAACTTAGGATAGGAAAAGTGACAGAAGTCCCAGTTCTGTATAACTAAGTTGGAGATGTCAGGAGCCATGCGTGCCTGTTTCATGTCAGGAGAATGAAGTCAAGATGTCAAGATGTCTCCTCCTTGGAGGGAAAACAAAGAGGTGAGAGAAGGAATGAAATGACATCAGCAACCCTAAGCATAGCAATGTAAGGTCAAAGGAAGATCAGCACAGGTATAGGACAGTCTAGGAAAGCTGAGGAAGCCATCTTAAATCTTCCTTACACAAATACACCCATCTTCTTGAGTGCAAGCTGAGTTGAACTCAGTCACTTACAATAGTCTCTGAGAGAGCGATATGGAGTGGAGTTTTTTGTGACTATGGTGGCCTCATCTCATCACAGTGACTCAGAATTATGCCTTGCCCAATACTGAGTGCAACATTGTTTCTTCTGCTTATGGTAGTAAAATAATGGCAAGCAAGCAAACAAAAAAGTAATTGGTGTTACTTCCCGTTTCCAGAAAGTCACCAGATTTTAATTATATATTTCTTTGTTTCCCATCTATCATTCCTCACAGGTGAATTTTTCTGGGCAGTTCACAAAAGATGTAAAACCATAAATGAATATATTAATAAGAGGTAATGTTTAAAAAAACCCACCTCTAACATTAAAACAAAATGGCTGCAGAATAAAACCGAGAGAAATTACAAAGATAGGGGAGCAATGGTACAAGGAAATTATTGCAAGAAATTAAAAACCTGAACACATTTTTTAAGGAACTGAAGGACTGAAGAAAGTCCAAAGTCAATGTAAGCATGATGACATCCATCCTACAAGGGTGAACTGGTGAGAAGAGGAGGTGGAAGAAAAATTGTACTGAAAATTAGAAATGTGCATTGACACTCTCAAACCCAGTCCGTACTCAAATAAGAACACAAAGATTGGTGCCCAACCTAACCTTTGCCCTTTTGGAATCGCTCAAACTCCTTCTTTGCCCAGCTCCATGCTTTGGTATCAGCTCAGCATCTTCCTTATAAGGTATTCTTACTTTCAGTTCTCCCCCCCACACACACACATTTAATCACATGAGGTCATCTTCAGTGTATCACTTTTAATCTCATGAATGCAAGATTTGACATGAGGGATCTCTGGGTGGGGCTGGGGGGCACTGCTCTACCCCGTGAGTGCCACTGAGCTTTTTGTTCTGTCTCATGGTTACCTCAGAAATACACACACAAAAAAACCCCTCTTGACTCAGTCCATATTGATACATTTGTCCAAAAGCAGTGCAAGAGTTTTCATTTGCCCCAAGAGTCCCTAGTCCAACTCTTGGGGCAAATGAAGAGCTCTTTCTTTCCTGGTGCTGAAAAGGCCGCAAGATCAGGGAGATCTCTCTGCAGGGCACAATCTACATCAAGTGTCTCCACTGGAATGTCTCTCTTCCTCCTTCTTTCTTGCAGCCACCTTCATGATCTTACTGAGCAGAGGCAATCAGAGAAATGCCTTTGAAAATGATAGGCTTAAAGGAAGAGACGTGCAATTGGGAGACCTGTTTAGTGCTTTACAGCACTGGTTCTTAACCTTGGGTTACTCAGGAGTTTTGGACTGCAACTCCCAGAAGCCTTCACCACCACCTGTGCTGACTGGGGTTTCTGGGCGTTGCAGTTCAAAAACACCTGAGTAACCCAAGGTTAAGAACCACTGCTTTACAGGGCAATGCTAGCACTCTGAATTGGGCTCAGACTTTCTGGCTGCCCTGAGAATATTTGGAAAAATGGTTCCCCTTTCTTTACTTTTGCCACCTGTAACCGTTTAGAGATTTGAGGAGGCCATGCTTTACTAAGCCTTCTTTAAAAGACATTGTTTCCAAACAAACAGTAAAGAAAAAAGACATTGCTTCGAAACAAACAGTAAAGCATCGTATTTTCATAAACAAACAGAAACTTAGAAAAAAACACGTTATGGATATAAAACTGTACTGAAAATTCTGCTGTCTGGTTTTGTAAACTGCTCCTCCCATTATGTTTAATAATGGTGCATCTTTTTACTTAGTCTCTATTAAACCAATAAATTGGTAGAGAGAAAATACTGTGCGATAAGAGTAATAATAATAATAAAAAAGGAAATGTGTGTTCTTCTTATAGCTGCCATGTTTCCTAATCATGCCAACGTGAATTCGATATATGCAATCTATTTCTGCTATTCTCAGTCTTGGCTGAAATCAATTTTTCAAAGGAGAAAGCAGAAAGAACATTCACAAATGTAAATGTCTGCTTAAAATCAATGCAATTATTCCCTGTCCTCACTCTCTCCTTTTTTAAGGTACAATGAAGCATGAATCTTTTTTAAAAAAGAAGAGAATCACTTGCCTTCTGCTGCACACTTTCACCTATCTTACACTCTCCCCCCGCCTCCCGGAGAAGCCACCTAGCTCATGCAGATGGAGAAGGCATTTTTGACAGGACAAATGATGCCACAACTTCAGAGTCTGTAAGAATCCCATTTCTTTGGCTTTCTCTTGGAGTAGTTTTCAGGAACCCCACATAGTTTCAACCACAAATGACAAAATACTGCAGAAAGACAACCTGGAAGCTATACTCTGATAGACAGGTCTATCTCAAGACATTCTTCTGATCAAAGCAAATATAAAATCTTCCTCCATTCAACATGCAGAAAGTCAACTAGCATCTATTGAATAAGCTATAAAAAGACATCACCAACACAGGACTCTCTGGTTCTTATATTTCAGCGGCATCCCTGTATTCTATGTGCCCACCAGAGGGAAAAATTAAGTGTTATTATAACAAACCTATACAGATAGTGGAAACAAGGGGATTGGATGTTTATAGGGAAGGGACGTACATCTCTTCCCTTCCCAGTAAACCACATTGGGCAAGATGTAGTGTGTACATCCCATCCACCACGATTTTTAAGTCCATAGAGCCTCTCATTACTTCATGCTAGAATATATATATTTTTAGCAAAAAAGAGAGAGTAGTTTTTAAATACTGGAGTTGCAAGCTGCCTTCAATCTGAACCACCAAATAATAATAATAATAATAATAATAATAATCATCATCATCATCATCATCATCATCATCATCATCATCATCACCAACACCACCAACACCACCAACACCACCACCATCATCAGTGTGCATCAATTAGTTTTACTTTGGATGCGTTTTTCTTACTGGTAATTTTTGCATATTTTGGGCCATCCACCAACCATTCTAGTCCTTTCTAGTTCAGGAAAAAAATGATGGAAACAAGGAGACAAATAAATACATCTTGGCACTGGACAATCAGTCAGTGATGAGATTTTAGGTATAACCCGACAATGTGAGTAAGAATTCTGTGCATCCTTCCTTCACTTACAAAGCACTGACAAGCCACTGACTTGGCATTTGATGTTCATGCGAAGTGGCTGTTTCAGGTACAATTCAGCAGATATGCTATTTCAGCGGTGCACTTTTGATTCAAGGGAAGCTCCTAACCTGGGTGTTCATGAACAAAATGCTACCAATTTGGGGATGCTGCCTGCCTCAGGTGTTGCTGGGAGAACCTTGTTACTGAAGAGGCTTGTTAGTCAATCAGAAACTCCCCATGAAACGGGCACAGGTAATGTGCAAGAGATGAAAATAGATCTCTCCATTTCCTACTGGTACAAAGTAAAATGGTTGTCTGTGATGCACCAGGAGTGCCATTCAAGAGTGCAGTTTTAACAGGCAGGGAGCTGTAACACAGATTCATTGGAGGTCAGTGCCTACAACAACCAGCCTCTTTGCAGAGGAGTTTATTGTCACCTGCAGCAGTTTCTTGCTCCAGGCACACGGGTTGCCTCGCTTTCACCATGAGGAGAACATGGGATTTTGCTCACTGCTGTAAACTCTCTCATTGCAGGCTGAGCAACAGAGTGAAACATACCAGATTTTGCTTACAACGAATAATCAGTCAACCCATTCTCCACAGCAGGGAGAAAGACACTCCCCTACAGAAATACTTTAAGCAGTTATCATCCCTATGGCCAAAGCAAACACAGTGCAGTGGTGCCAGGACCAGAAAGGAGAAAGGAAGCAATTTGTTAGATGGATTCAGCTTAGACTAGACAGGGAGACTTCTAAGGTTTCCATAAAGATTGCCAACTATTTTTGCCTCTCGTTTGCCTTTAACATCATACATAGGAGAAAACATCTCCCCCATCGCTTTAGTGCCTCAGCTGCTTCTTTTATTTTACACGTGCAGAGTAGAATGTGTTCTCTTCACAAGGAGCTTCTCCAGCATAATTGGGCAAAAGCATTTCTGTTACGTGGATACTGTCATTACACAGTTTAGTTGCTAGATAGGCACTGAACTTATTTCTAGTCCAGTTTGTCTGTCACGCCCTGTTCCTGGACTGTTCTTATTTTAACAGAGTTAGAACACTCTCATTTATACTACTGATAGTTGTGTTGTTCCATAAAATGCATCAGGGGTCCTGTTTTAAACCTACCACATCATGTGTATCTTCTTGATGAAACTGGAGCCTGACATTTAGGGGCATGAACATTTCCTTGTTCTTGTTGCATTCTTGAATCCTGCACTCTCATTTCTATATTGGGTTGTGAGCATTTCTTTTTTTATTAACTTAACTACCACTTAGAGAAAAGGAGAAAAAAGTACATATACTGTATCTTAATACTTCAAACTCAAAACAACTTTTTAAAAAAACCCATAACTAAAATTATTGAACCCACCACTGAGTCCAGTAAAGGTATAGATATCCTCCAGAGTTTTGATTATGATGGTTTTCAACAATACAAAGTTCAAAAAATCTTGCCATATTTCAATAAACTTGTTCTCTTTTAACAATCCCTTTTTAAATTGTATATCCCATGTGACTTATGTACCACTGACATCTATTTCCCTGATTTCACTATAGCATTCAGTTGATTGAGACATATACTTCAATTTCCACTTTCTCTCAGTCACAAATCTAGCTATCATTAGGATGTTTAAAATTAACTCCTTTTTTTGGCTAAATCACATTGTTCTTGTTCAAAAAATAAGCAATTATGCAATTTCAGGGACACTTCTGTTGTGTATTGAGCAATCTCCCCATTTATTTAAATATTAACTTCCAAATTTTTGTTACTACTTCTCACTCCCACCACCTATGGAAATAGTTGCGAACATCTTGTCCACATCTCCAGAAAATTTTAGAATATCTAGAGTTTATAATATTTACTTTCACAGGAATAAAGTACCATCTCCATATTAATTTATTTTAAAAAATCTTTTATTCTCACAGGCATTGATTTCAAAATTCTCCTTCTCCATATATTATTCCACATATTAGTAAGAGTTGCGTTTTCTTCCCACATAAAAATTAGTGCATTGTTTTGAATACAATATTTCTAAAACTCATCTCTTTTTGTGCAGAATTTTAACGTGCACATTTTTCAGTGCTATTCTCATTGATTAGAGCAAATCTGTTTGCATTTTTCAAACGTATGCAGTTTTTAGTTCCATACCTTTTAAACATGTATGTATGATCTGTAAGTATTTCTCCTCTCTAAAATATATACCTGAGATTTCTATGAGAATTTCTTGGGAAGCATGCAAAGGATATTTCCACAGGGAAACACAAACCCAACAAGTTTATTTTTCGTCATGCCTCATGACTAACCTGCATTTTACGCATGTGTTTCTTCTATGAGCCACTTCTAACAGAAGTTCTCAGGATATAGAGTATATCTAGCAGAAATCCTTGAGGGGTAGAACAGACTTTGGGAATTTGACTATTGTTAAGAAGTTTCTCACCTGTTCCAAAAAGCCCCGTGACAAAAGAAATCCATGTTGTTGTTTTTGTCATTGTATTTTATATTTTAAAGGAATAAGAATTCTGGGTAAGGATACTGGAAAAAAGGGAGGCAAGGAACCTGACCAAATCAGACTAAGACTCTGGCCATTTTGAAGTGATGGTTGTTTTGGTATGGTTTACTTTTGATATCCAGATAAGGATCATGGGGTTAGTAAACTAGTCCTCACCTTTGATTACCTATTGTTGTTTCTGATTTCTCACTAGTAGAATTTAAAAGGGGGGGGGGAGGCTATGCTTCACTGGAGGATTCTGTACATACTGCTCATCTATTTCTGTGAAACCTGTGACAGCTTCCTCTTTATGTTTCTATTTGAAGTCCTGAGTCCTCTCCCTCTGCCTCTGACATTTGAGAGAGGGAGAAACAATCTGAGCAAAATTACCTTGAGTTTAAACACTGAAAGGTGCTGAAGAAATAGCACCCTCCTTCATCACCTGCCATCATCTCAAAAAAAGTCAGCATTTTTACAACTCATGAAATCTTCCTTCCATCCCTCTCCCTGTCATTTGCTTCTTTATTTTCACCTTTTGTCACACTTTCTGAATCACAAAGGCAACTATTAGGGCATTGTCTTCAAATGAAAGAGCAAGGCTTTGATGAAATAACTATTTTCTCCTCTGCCTTAAAAGGCCCCCTCTTTCCACAGCCCCTATTTTCTAGTTCAAAACAAGAGATTTCTATTTCTGTTAACTGATCCTGCAGGAAGTCAACTGTCACTTTCCACCCTTGATTCCTACCTACCACTTCTTTTCAAGTGACATTATCTTTGAGTCACTCTCTTTGGCTCCCTCTGCAAGAACCCTGTGGTGCAGCTGGAGATAAACATTTATTCCCCACTTCCCAGGGGGCACCTGCTTAGCCTCCCATCCAAACCAGGTTCGCCATCAAACACAAAAGCTACAGAGACCTGCTTTCCTTTATTTTACTGCCATCAGATTCATGTTCACCTCCCAGTTGACTGTATCCAGATTGTGTTAATCTTGCTCTTTTGGATGCTAACTCCCAGAATCTCTGTCAGTGTTCTAGTTATTCTATCTAGTTCAAAAGGGTAGCATGTAACACATCCTCCCTCACCCATCTCTGCCATTACCACTACCCTCCTACTCGTCCCCTTTGCTTTTCTTCTTCTTTTGTAGTGTTTGGCAAGAGAAACAGGGCTGAACTGACAAGACGTGATAAATATTTGAATAAGTGCTGTATCAGTTTAGCGCTGTGGTCATGTAGTGCTAAACTAGGGGGAGTGGGATTAAAATGCAGTTTGCAAATTGCATTGCATTGCAGTCCTTAAAAGTGTGAGTAGATGGAAGGCAAAAGGAGTAGGGTTCAGTTCCACGTCACTCTGTGTGTCATAAGTGATGTCATCTGAGCATGCCCAACAATGGCCCTAAAGGACCAATATAAGTGATCACACACGCCAAAAGCAAGATGAAACAATGTGACTAGAAACACTATTAAAAAGTCACAAGCTCTGCTGGATGAACAAAATACACTGCATACTCATGCCAACAGATCACTGCATTATTCTATTTATTCATTATCACTACTCATGATTAGTGAAAATGAATAAATAGAATAAACATTAAAAGGGACAGTGAAAAAAATGGCACAAACAGCAGAACAAATACTTGTCTAACTGCTGCTTAAGTATCGGTCCCACCTTGTGTCCACATCACCTCATGCTATCTGAATAGGGTGAAGGCACATTATTTTGCCTTAAGCCTCCTTCTGTAAAAGAGTTTAAAGGATTGCAGTCTTAAACTAATTTATGGGAGTAAAAGTGTGACTATACAGGCCCATTTCTTTTTGTGGCACAGTTGTCTCCACTTGATTGTCCAAGACCTTCTGGTTATGGAGGTTAGGGTCTTCATCACCACCACTACCCTCCTGTCTCTAGGGTGCCATTGCTGGTATCATAATAAACAGTCACGGCACCCTCTTTAAGACAAAACAGATAGCTTCCTCCCATGCAGTGTAGGAGCAGCTACAGCAGTGGCAGCAACCAGAATATTGCCGAAGAGCGTTTGTAAACTATAATTTCCATGGGTGCAGAAAGACATTTTCTTCACTGGCTTGAAAGTAAGCCAATGACTAACACCACAGAGGCATGGGAGTTTTTACAACCTCACATGCTGTCTGTGGTTTGTGTGTCTGGGAGGGACCTTTCTGGGCTGGGATGACTGTCAATCTATCCAGCTCTAACCAATCTTTCCTTCTCACCTCTGAATTCAAAGAGAGACCCACCTCTCTCCTGAGTGTTCCTTTCCCTCTCTTTAGTCTGTTAGAAGCAGTCAGTTTCTTAGTTTGCTGTTGATCTGTCCGCAACTGCAAGTAATTTTATTATTTCTCCTACATTGTATTATTTTTCCTACAAATATCTCAGAATTAGTTATTGAAAAATTAAGTATCCGTTAATGAAAAAAGGGTAAGAAATTTGGGGATCTTGAAGTTGTTCCCCTTTATGAGTCTCTGTACTTCAATTGTGTAGCAAAGGGAATTTTACCTGAAGTCCCAAACTCTGCAACTAGAGGAGCCGGGGGGAATCCTACTAGGCTTTTGGAGCTCAGCAGTTGAACACTATGCCTCTGTAAGGAAAAGCAATGGACATTCCTGTGTTTATGGAGGCCATACTAAACACAAGCTTATCCTTCTGCAGATGATCCAAGGAACAAGTGGAAGCAGTTATGCAGACTTCAGCTCTCCTAGCATGTCACAACAACTCATTACCTTTATTCTTCAGCTCTCAACAGCCCTGTACCACTATTGTTTCATACACTGTAAGGGGTCAAACTGTATGGTGGGACACTAGTACAGAGCATGGAGGAAATGGTACTCTTTGAAAATTAATTCCTAATTTTCACCATCTAGTATGGGCATGCTGGTTATGGAAATCTGGGAGTTGTTTTTCTTAAAAAGCGTGAAAGCTGGATAGTTAAGAAAGCTGACAGGAAAAAAAATTGATGGATCTGAAATATTGTGCTAGAGGAGAGCTTTGCAGGTTCCCTGGATGACCAGATAGGACCAGTGGGTCCTAGATTAAATTCTCTCTAGGAGCATAACGGTTGGAACTAACACTGTCCTACTTTGAGCACATAAGAAGTCAAGACAATAATGCTAGGAAAAGTTGAAGCTAATAGGAAAAGGAAAAGAAAACCAGAATCCATTAAGAAAGCAATAGTTTTGAGCCAAGAGCTAATCAGGACTGTTAATACAGTGGTGCCTCGCTAGACGATAATCCGTTCCACTGAAATCGCTGTTTAGCAAAATCATTGTCTAGTGAAAAGCATTTCCCCATTGGAATGCACTGAAACCTGTTTAATGCATTCCAATGGGGAAGAATTGTCATTGTCTAGTGAAGATCGGCCATAAGAAAGCCGCTTTGCGAACCACTGATCAGCTGTTTACATTGCTGTCTTGCGAACCTTAGGTCCCAGAAACACCTGTTTTGCAAGCGCAGAGGGAGCTGTCAAAATCGTCTAGTGAAAATCGGTTTGCAAAGCAGGAACCAAACATTGTCCAGTGAAATTCCCCCATAGGAATCACTGTTTTGTGAATCACTATAGTGATCACAAAAAGTCAATGTCTAGCGAAAAAACTGTAATGTGGGGTAACTGACTAGCGAGGCACCACTGTAATAGATATTTTGGAGGTCACTCATTCAAGGGGTCTCCATACATTGGAGGCAACTTGGGGGCATGTAATAGCAACAATTTTTCCAAGCTCTGAGTCAGTCTGGCTCCCACTTTGTTATTTTTCTCCTGGCAAGTAAATCTGTGTATAAAGTATGCAAACAGGCCTTTAGCATTTAAGCTAGTTTGCTTACTGTGGGGTTGGGATGGGGGTCAACTGCTTGGCTGGTGTTTATTTCCTTATAGTGCCGTACTTTTCTTGCATTTAATTGATTTCTTTGGATGTTTTAATCATGAAATAGTTGTGGCTGGTGTTTATTTCCTTATAGTGCCGTGCTTTTCTTGCATTTAATTGATTTCTTTGAATGTTTTAATCATAGAATAGTTGAGTTGGAAGGGGCCTACAAGGTCATCAAGTCCACCCCCACCCACATCACTGTAGGAATCTGGAAGGGGCCTACAAGGTCATCAAGTCCACCACCAACCCCATCACTGTAGGAATTCAAATCCAGCAGATTTGACAGATGGTTGTCCAATTTTCTCTTGAAGGTTATGTTTGTATTCCTATTTTGTTGTTGTTTCTAACTAACTGCCTTGAGCACTATTTCAGGAAGAAAGCAGCCTCTAAAACTGAAGAACGGAATAAAATAGGGAGAGGGCAGGGAGGTGGGCTCCCTAAACATACAAGCTGTCCCTGTTTTGAACAGGAAGGCTTCTATTCACATTAAGCTTTCTAGGAACAAAAAGGCAAAAAAAATAATAATAATCTGAAGCTGTATGATGTCACTCTATGGCTGAGGTCAATCCAATCTGGTTTTGTATTGAATTCATTCCAGCACTGTGAATTTGACAGTCACAGTCTTCCTAAAGGCAACCTACAGCCTGAGTTCCCATTTCAGTTTTTGACCCTCAGGATGTTGATTGGCCAAGAATCAAGGATTCTGGGAAATGATTTCAATAACATCTGGAAAGCCAAAGGTTGAGAACTACAGCATGAGGGGGAACCAGGTGGAGGCCTGTATTTTAGAGTCCTACAGGAAGCTGTGTAGAATATTTTTTGACAAACATATTATGCTACCAATTATAATTGACAGCTAAGAGTTAGATTTCTTTCCCTGCTGTTCTTTCTCTCTTTCTCTCCTCCCGTTTTGATATAAATATAGTGTCTCTTTCGAAAGAGTATCTGTTTGCATGAGAAACTTTAATCAGAGCTAGTTCATTTCTTTGTTTAGCTCCATAACATAAATGATCTGTTGACCTTAATTTCTACCTCCCATTTTCTGCCTCCTCCCCTCCCATCTCCAATCCAAAGACAGGAAGCAGACTGCGCATTAGTAGCTTTATGGGGGCATTAGTGGCTCTGTTGTGTAACCATCATTCTTTTTCATGTTGTTTTTGATGGCTTTATGACCAATGGAAGACTGAATTTGGTTTGCTGATGCTCGGTTCCACATGCCATCCTTCAGGCTGGCTTTGCCAGTTTCCTCTCAGCTAATAGTAATTTATGCCATGGCTAGAATCTAATCTAAAGTATTCTGTGAAATCTGATTCTGAATTATTCTATGTTATGCTCCAAAAGGTAGAGGCTGCAAATCTGGTTGTTATACTGTTTCAGTGGAACTGCTCTCTGATGTCACTGTTTCTTAACAACATTACTGGAGTGGACAACAGGCAGCCTGCCTATGTCTCATGGAAGAAGAGGAAAACTCACAACCGCCCACCCACAATATGTTTCAGAGCATAAGACACTGTGCAAATGAGAGGAAATACTTGGAGAGAATTTGGGTAGGGCTAAGAAAAGTTACCTCTGGGACTATGGTTCCCAGAATCCCCCAGTCAGCTATGGATTTGGGAAGTTATTCTTCTGCAACAATCAGGTTTCTAAAATCTGTTGGGAGATACAGGTGGCACACTTTCAAGCACTGAAACAATGTATGGAGCCTACCTGTTGAAGGAAATAATTGTCCCCTCTCCTGTTCATGTTAAGCAGATATTTGTAATAAAGAATTTTCTACAGATGGGCTTGCAAAGAGGTCGTAGAACCGAAGAAGGACACTGGCCATCTGAATAAGTCCTTGTGAATGCCCATAGGATGTTAGTCAGAAGAAGCAATCATGCCAGTGGACATGGCTGGTGTATATGCCATTGGGAACCCCTCTGTTCATTCACTGGATTGGTGGTGGTGAGGAGTCTTACTACAAGAAACCATAATCATGACAAGGGAAACAGCATCTTTCAAACGGGGCAGACATTCTTCCCCTCTTTTTCTGGTTGGTCACAATGGAACTTGTGACTCCATGGAATTCACTTCCAAGCAATGCTTTTAAAACTACAGTGGTGCCTCGCTAGACGGTTGCCCCGCTTTACGACGAAATCGCTTTATGATGTTTTTTTGCATTCATTTTACCCATCGCAAAATGATTGTTCCAATGGGGCTTTTTCGCACCACGATCACCCGTACCCGCTTTAGAGCAGTTCAGAGGCTTTTCCTGCAGTCAGGAAAAGCCTCCAAAGTGCTCTAAAGCGGGTGTGGGTGGTTTGGGGGCACCCCCGCCAGGGCTCTGATGGTGCAGGAGAAGCCATCAGACCCCTGGTGTGGGTGCCCTGAAACCACCCACGCCCGCTTTAGAGCACTTTGCAGGCTTTTCCTGAAAAGGTAGAAAAAGCCTCCAAAGTGCTCTAAAGCGGGCGCGGGTGGTTTTCGGGGCATCCCCACCAGGGCTCTGATGGTACAGGAGAAACCATCAGAACCCTGGCGGGGGTGCCCCGAAACCACACTCCCTGGCTTTGGGGGTCCCCCGGGGCTTACCTTGCACCATTGGAGGACTCGTTCGGGTCCCTCTGAGCAGCAATCGGCGTTTGCAGAGGCTTGACTGAAAGCAATATATATAAACCATGCCTTGTATGGGGATAAAAAAAACATAGAGGTTTCAGATTTTGCTACTACTGTATTCTAAAAGAGACAAAGTGAACGTTGTGTGGCTGGTGGGAAAAAAAACAACACCACAAGAGGAAATACCAATATCATTGGTCTGCTGCAGGCTCTAAAGTACAGGCCAGCACTAGGTTTTAGCCGCACCATTGCCAGTGGCTTGGTCTGCTGCAGGCTCTAAGGTACAGGCCAGCACTAGGCTTATCCTAATACCATAGTTTTCAACCTTAAACATTTCAGAGCCTACATCAGCAGAGTATAGAAGTGACTTTTGTTGGTATCACGAAATACAG